CTTCTTCTTCTTCTTCTTCTTCTTCTTCTTCTTCTTCTTCTTCTTCTTCTTCTTCTTCTTCTTCTTCTATCCCTATTATTCTTAAGTTTTGTCTTTTTATGGTGTCCCATATATCCTAGATATTTTGTGCTAAGCTTTTGTTAGATTTAATGTTTTCTTTGACTGATGAGTTTATTTCCTCTATTGTATCTTCAGTGCTTGAGATTTTCTCTTCCATCTCTTGTATTCTGTTGTTTATGCTTGCATTTGTGGTTCCTGAGTGTTTTCTCATAATTTCCATTTCTATAATTCCCTTGGCTTGTGTTTTCTTTATGTCTCTATTTCAGTCTTCAAGTGTTGAATCATTTCTTTCATCTGTTTGATTACTTTTTCTTGGTTTTCTTTAAGGGATTTGTTGATTTCTTCCATTTTTTTTGTCTTTTCTTCCATTTCTTTGAGGGAATTTTTCGTTTCCTCTTTAAGGACCTCAAACATTCTCCTAAAGTAAATTTTTAGGTCATTTTCTTCTGCTTCATCTATATTTGGTTGTTCAAGTCTAGCTGTTGTACAGCCACTAGCCACTATTGGTGCTGTGTTGCTCTTTGTGGTGTTGAGTGTATTCTTGCCTTGTCTAGCCATCTTTTCCTTTGATTGGTGTAGTTGAGGCTGATATCTCTGGTGATCAGTCTTCCAGGTGCCAGTGGATCCAAGGCTCAGATGGTTGCTCCTCATAGTGCAGTCAGGGCCATGTTGCAGTTACCCTGGAGGTCACTCGGTGTTCCTGGAGGTCACTCTGCACTCCCAGGAGTGGTTCTGCAATCCCAGGGGTCATTTGGGCCTGTTCCCATGAAGGTTGCTTGCTTGGGGCTACTTCTGCTGAGGTTGCTGTCTTGGGCCTGCTCTGGTGGAGTCGTTAGCTCCTTCAGAGGTCGTTGATTCATACCTGCGTCCGGCTTAGGTCTCTGGCCCGGGTTTGTTCCCTCAGAAGTGGCGCCCTTGTACCTGTTCCTGTGGAGGTAGTTGCCTTAGGCCTGCTCCTGATGCTGTGGAGATCGCTGCCTCGGGCCTACTCCATCAGAGGTAGCCGGCTCAGGCCTGTTCTCACAGATGTCCCTGGCTTGGGCCTGGTCCTGCAGTGATCTCGGGCCTGCTCTGGCAAAGGTCAGTGACTCAGGCCTGTTCTTGTAAATGTCCCTGGCTTGGGCCTGCCTAAGCGGAGGTCCCTGCTTCCTCCTGGTCCCACAGAGGTCTCTGGCTCAGGCCTGTTCTGTCAGAGGTGGCTCCCTTAGGCCTGCTCCTGTGAAGGAGGCTGCCGTGGGCCTGCTCCAGCTGAGGTCGCTGGCTCAGACCTGTTCTCACAGATGTCCCTGGATCCCCGATTATCTTTTAAATAATGTAAAAAGCTGAGGAAGCATATAGCATTCCTAGTTTCATTATGGAAAGTGAATTTATGCTCGTAGAGAACGTCTGCGTGGTCCCATCGGTAACCTGTTTCACTACTGCGAGTCCCCAGAGCTCCTGTACATCTCCTGTTGCCAGCTGGTATTCCTCCCTCTTCCTCCCCCGCCCCCACCTCTTTATGTCTCTCCTGTACCTGTCCTATTTGTCAGCTGCTCTTCCTCCTGACTCTTTATGTCTTTCCTTTATTTGATTTTTCCTTCTTTAAGACAGGGTCTCATGGAGTTCAGATTGGTCCTGACACTACGACTGAGGATGCTCTTGAACTTTGTAAGCCCCTGCCTCTGCACAAATGACTGCCTTGCTTCCTTCCACACCTTTTAAATTTTTCAGTGACATCTTACTGTGCTGCCTAAGATGGTTTTGGATTTCTGGGTCCAAGCGATCCACCTCCTTCGGCCACCCCACTAATGAGGAGTACAGAAGTGCGGCCTTGGGCTTGGTTTAGTTCATCGTCCATGGCCTGCTTTCAGCTCCATTGCAGCCACACGGGATTGCACTTGGCAGTTGAAGATAATCTTAGACTCAACTTTTTAGGATGCATAATTTGAATTGTGACCTTTTCTTATTGTTAAGTAATTAGCTACCATGTACTGTCAACCATGTAGTAACATGTATGCGATTTGTTTGTTAGTGGACAGTTACAATGCATTTGAAAGGAAAGGCTTTAAACCGGTTTTTATTAACTAATGTTTAGCTTTTAATTAGCTAATGGTGCTTAGTGGTGCAGAAGACCCTTAAAATTCTCTGATTAAAAAAAGGAGGGGGGGGGCTCTGGAGTCAAAACTTTGGGTCAAATGAGCATTTTAAGAAGTATTTCACATTGTTGGTTGGGAACGTAGCTCAGTACCCTGTCCGGTGCTATTGGGACTTGACCTGACTGAGGAGGCAGCAAGGGTATACAGAAAAGCTGGGGCCAGGGGCCTGTGCTGTCGCTGATGGAGAGCATCTATTACGCTCAACAACCCAGAACCTCATCAAGGTTATTCTGTATGGCACAGGGGAGGAGTTAGCTAGTCTCTGTTGGAGGTCTCTGTAGGTAGAGCAGTCTCAAGCTGTAAACATCCCTGAGGAGGGAAATCTGTACTCGCTAGTTTTGCTAATTTCCCCTGGTCCTGAGGCTCTGACCCTTGACCTGGCCATGCCCGTGTCAGCAATGCACACTCACTTGGAACTTCATCCACTCATTGAGCATCCGCTCAGGCGCCTCGCCTGCTCAGTAGATAGTGCTTCCATGTGATCATGAGGACCAGAGTTCGATCCCCAGCAGCCATGTGAAAAGCCAGGCAGGGTAGCATTGTTCACAAAACCAACACTAGGGTGGTGGAGATAGGCTGGTCAGTTTGGTGAACCCAGATCCCTGTGAGAGACTGTCTCCAGAAACAAAGTGGATGGTTTTGGAGGAGCAAAACCCGAGGTTGACCTGGCCTCACAGACCCACATATATGCATATACACTATAAAATATGCTAGATATATGAGGCAATGCATTGCTGAATCATCAAAATATATGGAATTTTTATTTTTTTAATTTAAAAAGAACTACTATGCAGTACTTTTCATTGCCCCAGAGATACATGCTTTCCATTGACAAAGCAACACATCTGAGAAGTCCTATAGTGAAGAGATCCAATTCCATCTTTCAGTTATGTGCATATGTGTGGGTAGGTACACAGGAGTTCAGGCGTCCTGGGAGCACTGGAACGGGAGCTACAGACGGTCATGAGTCACCGTATGGATGCTGGGAGTCAAATCTCCGCAAGGGCAATACATGCTCTTAACTGCGGAGCCATCCCTCTGACCCCAGTAATCAGTATATTTAAATCATTAAATATTTGAACTACATATACTGTGTGTGCATAAATAAGAATGTATAATTTGCGGCGAAACACTGCCTAAGGGAATCTTAGATGACAGTCTTCTGGTCCAGCGTCTTACTCCGTCCCATTGTAATCTGCTCTCGGCTTCGCTTTTCATCTGTCTGGTTTTCTCCACTCTCCTATGTCTCTTCTATGACACTGTCTACTTGGCGGCCCCCCAGTACTTCCCAACACTTGCCACTTCGTCTCTTCTCACCATCTCTTTTTCTCTTTTGGAGTTGTTCCTGTATTTATGGTTCTAATGAACTTACTTACCCAGTTACTTTACTTTGACTTAGAATTTATTTTGTCTGCAATGTTGCTTAGAACTAATAATCCATAAATATAACCAGATGGCAGTGGCACAGGCCTTCATCCTAGCACTGGGAGGCAGAGGCAGGGGGATCTCTGTGAGTTCGAGCACAGCCTGGTCTATAAAGCAAGGGCTACACAGAGATACCCTGTTTCAAAAAATTAAAAGAAAAAAACAAAGTGTCTCTAAGTTTGACCTCACTGCTTTCCTTTTAAAAACTTTATCTATTAATGGTTTTTCGTTTTTTTTTTTTTTTTTTTTTTAGGGGAACACTGTTTAATCTCTTAGTAATTTTAATTAGTGAGCCTAAGGTTCCAAAGTCTTGCTCCCCGTCTGACACCCAGCCACAATCTGACTCAACTTCAGCCGAAATGTCTTTTGATGCTCAGGTGAGATGAGATTTTGGGGGTCGACTGAATGTAACTGCAGGGGCTGTAGTTCCTTACATATTGGCATGGAACACGATGCTGTAGAATACAGAAATATGCATATTAAAGAGGACATGCTTTGTCAGTAACTAAAATCTTTGCTATTTGACCAATATTAGTGTATCTATTTTGTCTTTTTAGGTGTATAAGCTAAGGAAAATAATACTATTTTAAAATGCCATGCATCTGCCCAAATGTCTCTGTATATTATTCAAATATCTGTAATTCCATAGTAGAAATTTGACCAAAAAACAAATAAACAAAACTCCTAAAGAATGTCTTCCAAATTTTAAAATCTACTTGGACTGTATTTTCTCCTAACAAGTGACTTGTGCTCAAATAGTGCGCACGCAGTAAGAGCACCTCTTTTCTACCATTTTACATTAGAAATACCAAACTGTATAGAAAGTGTATTTCCAAGAGAACATATCAGCTCACAATCAACTTATTTTGAGCCAAGTCAGATTGTTTTTTTTTTTAAGGGTGGGATATGGTTTGACGGTTCTGATGCACACAGCTGGAGCTGTGCTAGAAGTTGTGTCCTCTCGGCATGCATTCCAAAGACTAAACAAAGCACATTTACACAATTTCCACAAATTCACAAACATTCACCATCAGAATAGTTGATGAACTGTGAGTGGGACAGGTGTCGCTGAGGCGTGCCGTGCCTGCATGGAGACACCTGATACACACCTTGAGATGGCCGAGCGAATGAGTAGATTGGAGACTCGCTGAGAAGCGAGATGCGCACAGGTAGAGCTACTACATGCATGGTATGGTACCGTGTGTAGTGGCATCTTACATACCACATATACATGGGGTGGTAACACATCCCTGGAAATCCAGCACTTGAGAGGTAAAGGCAGAACTGAGGGCTGCAGATCAGCCTTGTACTATACAGTGAGACCTTTCAGAGAAAGGGGAGGAGGGGAGGAGGAGGAGAGTGCAGCCTAGCTGAGGGATGACAGAAGTCAGCAGGAAGCCCTGGAACAGAGACGACAGTTCAACAGTCAGAGTGCTTGCTGCTCCTGGAGAGGGGCCAAGTCTAAGCACCCACATGGCCGCTCTCAACCATGTGTAACTCTAGTCCTAGGGGGTCTGGTGCCCTCTTCTGGCTGTGTGGGCACATATATACATGCAGGCAAAACATTCACACACATGAAATATATTTATGTCTATTAATATATTTGTATAAAATATGAATATATTTATACACATATAAAAGTGTGTGTGTTTGTGTGTGTGGCTTTTTTATGGCACGTTTCACATCTTTTTTTAAAAAATATTTATTCATTTATTATGCATACAATATCTGCCTACATGTGTGCCTGCAGGCCAGAGAGGGCACCAGATCTCACTACAGATGGTTGTGAGCCACCATATGGTTGCTGGGAATTGAACTCAGGACCTTTGGAAGAGCAGGCAATGCTCTTAACCACTGAGCCATCTCTCCAGCCCGTGTGTGGCTTTTTGAGACAGGATTTTTCTGTGTAATAACCCTTGCTGTTCTGGAGCTCTATCTGTAGACCAGTCTGGTCTTGAACTCACAGAAATCCGCCTCCTTCTACCTCCCAATTGCTGGCACCACCAGATGGCTTAATAACAAAAGAAGAGGGAAACCTTCCCTGAGCCCTAGAAGAGACTAGCCCTCTTCAGAGCTGTCTAAACTTCATATGTTTTTCTTTTGGACCTTTGGCTCAGTTATAAACTATGTGTTAACTCACTAATTGCTAGCTCGATGCCTGTTTCTTAAGAAGACTGTATTCCCCAAGAGAGGCAGCGACTCTCCAGCGTCTAGCACAGTACCTGATGCATATTTGCTGAATAAATACACAAAGAGGAAGGGAGACGTCAAATCATGAAAAGGATAGATTCCAGAATACTTTAGGAATTTGAGCTGACTCTTGACATAAAGTGTGGGGACTCGAAGACAGCTTTTAGAATCTGTCCTAAGAGTCAGACATGCGTGACAGCAAGAGGTCCAGCTTCAAGGGGGAAAACACTGAGCTTGTTAGTCTGGATTACTAATAGTATTACCCCACGAGAACATCTAGTGGGCAAGATGGATGGGCATAGGTGTCGTGTCTGCAGAACCTTAGATCTTCTGCACAGGGCAGTCAGGGTGGCCATCAGAAGACAATGCAGATTTTGGTCACCAGATGTAAAAGGAAGGGAGACAGTAGACTAGAGTTCATCCTGCACACTGTACGAGGACAGAGTCGAGGCCTGCAGCATGTCCACAGGCAGTTCTCATGCCCAGAGTGACTTATGGACCCTCTCAGCTGCCTGGAGATCTTGTGGACAGAGTTCTCTGAGCCCCATATTTTCCCATTCCCTAGAAGGAACAGAAGTTCAAACTGGGCCCAAGCCTAAATCCCTTAGAAAACCTTCCGCATCAAGCCTAAGGAGCATGTTCACGCCCTGAAAGGAAGTAAGGTTGTTGATCTGACTGCTAATGTGGACCCCGTGTGCAGGGTTTTCGTGGCTTTGTCTGGGCCTTCCTGTGTTCCGCAATCCACCTGTGGGTCGTTGTTAAACGTGTTGTCTCTTTACACGAATGGCTTTGGTTTTGGTCATGCTGGGAGTGAACACATGAGGAAAGCGTTCTATCACTAAGCTACTAACTTTTCATTTTGAGACAGGGTCTCACTAAGTTGCCCAAATAGGCCTTGAACTTGTGACCTCTGTGCCTCGGCTCTTTCGTGTCTGGAATAATATGCCTGAGTTAGCCAGCCCAGTCTGAAAGCCACCTTTCTGGGAATGGCTGAACCCAGTGGAATGGAAAGTGGACGTCACAAATAAAAATTTAAATCAGAAATCCTTTTTCAAGGATCTAAAGGGAAATGACTTTTCTGGCTCAGCCTATAGCAGCGCACTGATAACTGACTGTCTCAGCCTATAGCAGCGCACTGATGACTGGCTCAGCCTATAGCAGCGCACTGATGGCTGGCTCAGCCTATAGCAGTGCACTGATGGTTATTGAAACTTCTAGTTACAGAAACTCACCCTGGAGTATACAGATACGGCTACAGCCCTGCTCTATGAGATTCTTCTTGTCTTTCAGCAGGTACAGCATGTATTTTTATTTTAATTCTAACTTGATTATGTTATAATGTTTAATGGGGTAACATTTTGGGGGATGATCTCTAAAACTGGTTGGCCTCAGTGATGCCACCTTCGCTCTTCAGTGCTACTCCAGGTGATTTTACAGTAACTGATTTGAAAGATTTGATTGATTAGGGTACAAATACATTTGGGAGTGAGAATTCTTTAGCTATGATTTAGACGTCATGACTGTAACTTGTTTCTTTGAGTCTCTAGGGAAATCTTGGATTGGGATCCACAAAGTTTGCTATTACCTGGATGATGTCTTTTCTACAGAGCTGTCCTCCCACAGTGAGTATTGAATAGAAAAAGGTCCGACTTATCGGATGCTTTGTGCTTCATTAATTAAACACAGGTATTGTCCTGTGATTTACTTGAGTCTACAGAGCAGAAGCAAGAGATAAACTTGATGATTTTATTATTTAATGAAAAGAAAATGTTTTTACATTTGAATTAAATATATTAGAGGTATTAAATTATGGCTAAAGCTTAGCTTTATTCTTATTAAAACAAAAAACCCAAAACTTTGAAGGTATGTATAATAAATGAAATGTTAGAATTTAAGTGACAAGGTTGACGTTTGCCATAAGTAGAAACACGAGCAGAACACTTGGGATTTGCTGTGTGCTCTCTACCCCTGCAGCCTGGTCCCAACTCTGATCTCTTTTAAGATTCCATGCATGTTCAAATGGTCCATGTCTGTCATTTTACTAGATTGCAGCCAGAGGGAGCTATTTAGCACAAAAAAATGTGATTGCCATGCCTTTAGCTAGGCAACCTCTCAGCTTTTCCCTTTGCCAACCTCCTTCCCAGGCCTGCGGGTCGGGCATCTTAGAGCTTTGCTGCCTCAACTGGTCCTTCCTTCATCCTGCCTGGCTCTGTCCTATGGCAGCTGTCAGTCTTCCAGCACGCTTTCCACTAGGCACAAGGTAGGCGTGGGCGTCGCTCTTCACTTGATTACTTTGGCCTGAGTCACTTCTGGGCAGAAGTTTTAAGAGCTTGTCCAGCCTTTTTCCCTGGGTCACTTTTACTTGTGGAATGTTGAGTGCTCCCCTGGTGCTCCCGAGTGATGGGGAGCAGGGCACCCTACCGACCTGTAAGGACTGTGTGAACAAACTACAGAGCTTTCCTGTTCCACATCGAGCGCTGGTCATCCGAGGTTTGTTATCGATGTAGTCTGTCATGACTGAGACAATGACTTTCTCCACGGGACATGAGGACAGCGATATGTCTATAGAGTGCTAGATGCTCTACAAAATATCACATGAACTAATTTTTGTAAAGCCTTCATCTTCCATCTCTCCCCACTTTCCCAAGCTCAGTTTCCCTGTACTCATTCATGCATTCAACTAACCAACGTATGGTTTTCTGGAAATCTCTTCAAAAGGCAGCGCTTGGGGCTGGTGAGATGGCTCAGTGGGTAGAGGTGATTGCTGGCAAGCCTAAGAAACTGAGTTTGTGCCCTGATCCCAGTGTGGTAGGAGAAGAGAACAGCTTCCATGCATCGTCTTCTGAGTTCCACACATGTGTAGTGGCCTACACACCCACATGCACATGTGTGCATGTCACATATACAAATCACACACACACACAGCAAGAGGGGTACTTGTCATGAAGACTGTTTTGTCTTTCCACACGTGAGCGTATGCCTGTTGACCCATTCCCAGCTGTGAACTACTTTTCCAGAGCCGGTCCTAAAGAACCCGTATTCTCTTGTCGGATCCCTATGGCACGTTTATGCAAAGCTGGCCAGGGCTGCAGTGTACAATAGAATGGCCTACTGGCCAAAATGATGAAGACCACAATGTTGGCTCCTTCAGCAGTGCACAGGGCTCAGCGGGGCTCAGATCCACTCAAGGAGCACCATAGTTTTTACTTATTCATATTTGTATGTGCGATCTGAAAGACCCCTACTTATCTTATGCAGTGGTCATAGGCTCTATATCTGACTGAGGTCCTAATGGTCTCAAACAGTGGGGAAGTCCCTCACTCGGTCTTTAAAGGAACTGAGTCAAGTACGAGGAAGCCAGTGTGACGTGAAGCCTGACAGGATGAAGGGTGCCCAGAGGCCAGGGGACATGGACACGTGAAAGGTATTAAGCCAGCTCTCAACAGTAGGACAAATGGAGACCACCTGAGAAACTAGCAATAAAGGAAACTCTTGAGGGGGTGGGGTTATCGGATGTACCTACTTGTTCAGCCAGCCCTGATTATCTTAGCTAATAAAACCAAGGTGCTGTGAATCGAGGAGATGGCTCAGCGGGTAATGAGCACTTGCCGCCAACCTGAGTTGAATTCCCAAGACTCATGTGTAGAAAGAGAGAACTGACTTAAGTGAGCTGTCAGGCAGCTTCTGATGCACACCTTGGCAAGCATGCATAGCATGCCACCCCCAAATAATCAAAAAATGTAATTTAAAAATTAAAACAAAAATATCAAAATGCTAAAGAAATTAAGAGTAGTCACTGGTCGGTCCGTGGTTTGGTACTGAGTAGCACTGCAGTGGGAACTAGCCCAGAAGCCTGGGAGGAAGGGTGGCAAGGGCATCAGCCTAGACTCGTCAATGAGGCTAACAGCTGAAGTGGGACGCGTGTGGATGGCACCCTGCCCACGCGCAACTGCCTTCTCCTCATCTAGATGGCTTTTGTGGCCAGTATTGTGAAGCGGGTGGTGAGCGGGCTTTCAGCCTCGCTCCAGCTGCTGAGTCCCTGCCAAGCGGTTCTGTTGTACCAGCAATTTTACATCCTCAAGAGCTGCCTGCAGTACAGCAAGACTCTCGCCGAGTGCATCAGGAACGACCACAGCGAAGAGTTCAGGTAAGGAAAAGAGAGCACGGCCAAACCAAAGTGCTCCTGGCTCCTTTTCACGGACACTTACGACAGGACCTGATCGTTAGGTAAACGGTGATGGAAAATTCCACTTCTGTTTTTAGCAATCCTTTATTTGGCCACAGGTAAGGTGAAATTGTGCACAGGTCTAAGAATGCCATCTGAGGAGTGTCCCCAGCCCAGAAACTACTTGCCACTCCTCGCCTTGCTGTGTGGTGCGGCCTGCATTGCAGAGTATAACTTGTTTGGGGGTAACAAACCCTAGAGAAAGGGGATGATAAATTATGAACTGGAAGTTCAAGTCTGCTGCTGCATGCACGTTGGGGGTGACCAGTCAGTAGAGGGGGACAGTAAACAAACACTGGGGAGTCGGTTGTTGATGTGTTTCATTTACTCTGTATTATCCCCAGTAACAAAACAGTAAGCAGGAGTAGCCAGGTTTGGTCTGTCCATCGGCAGCCTGCTCTGCGGTCCCTCGGAGGTTCCACTTCTTCTCTATGGCTAGCAAGGCCAGGTGCACTCGGCACTGCACCCCGATCTAACATGTATTCAAGAAAACTAAGGTAGTTTTTGCCATAAATGAGAAGGATGCAGCCAGCGTGGCTTCACCCTTGGTTCAGAGGGAGACATCAAAAGATGTGGAGGCATACATTATGGCTTTATATTGACCTCAAAAAGGGTAAAGTCAGCCCTCTGTGTAGACTCTGTGTTTCCTGCATGTGGCATTACACCAGAAGGTCCACTCTGGATACCATAAAAGGATATATTTGGCTCCAAGCTTATCCCACAGTCGGTCCCAGCACCCTCCCTCTCCTGGTTCCTAACTTCTTTTTCCTTCTCATTAGGAAAAACTGACATAGCGTGAAATTTACCCCTTTAGAGCATATAATTTGGCCGCTTTGAATACGTTTCACAATATTTTGCAACCATCATCACTGAACTGCCGAACATTGTCATTATCTGAAAGTACCCGTTAAACGGACACATCCCATCCCCTTCTCCCCACTGGCAACCGCTCACCTACACGATCTCCCTGACAGCCTTTGGTCTCAGATCTTTCAGCCATCATATTTCCAAGGTTTGTTCATGTTGCAGCATGAATGAAAACTCCCCACCCCAACTTGTTTGTCCATTTGGAGACATGGTCTTGTGGTGTAGCCCAGGCCAGTCTGGAACTCACTATGTAGCTTAAGTTGGCTTTGAACTCATTGCAAGCTTCTTGCTCTAACTTGAGTGCATGTGTCGTCATGCCCAGCCTAATTATAGAAGTCGTAGTTATAAACTTGAAAAACTACCAGGACAACTGGCAAAAATGGTGTCATACTCCTGGATAGCAATAGCTGACTGGAGCTCCCAGCAGGCCCTGTCAGGAGGATTGTGCACCCTTTGGCTACCATCCCCCTCCCCTGCTTACTCCTCCCACCCCACTACTTACATTTCTCGTGGACTTTCAGTTTTGTAGTTTCTGTTTTAATCTAGTGGTTTTTCCATTTACTTTGCATTACAATTATCTGGGTAGTTATGAATAACATCAGCCCAGCTGTGGTCCTGTTTTGGTTCACCTGGAAGCATGGTCTGGGCAGTGACAGTTTTTAAAGCTCCCCCAGGTGATTCTGTTATTCACTGGGGGCTGAGAACCATTTGATGCCACCCAAGGAGATGGCTGAAGGCTGTCTATATTCTTATGTAGAAGCGTGTGCTTGTAGAGGATGCAGGAGATAAGCCCTGCTCTTTCCCCTTGACTGGTCCTGTTGGGTTGTCTTGGCTTGGCCTCTGTGCCCTACTCTTTTCTGTGCACTGTCCGAAGAATCCAGCATCAGAATCCTCATACAGTAGTGAGGACAGTCCTGTTCTGTCCTGTCCTGTCCTTATCTTTCCTGGTCACTGCCTACATGGCGGATGCATTATGAGTTCCTTTCTCAAGTAAAGTACCTATGCTTACTGAAATGCACACACCTGAGATCTTCTAAGCCCTGAGTCAGGAGGTTGGAAGTCTGACACGCTGAGTCTCATGGCTCAGACTCCCCACCCCCACCCCCAACCTTGTGCAGTGAGTGTGAACACACTGGATGGACCGATGTGAAAATCCTCATTGTCACAGATGCTTTGTTCCTCTGTGGTTGCAGGTACTTCATTCACATGCCAGCCTTGGAAAAGAGACTCCCTGTATGGTACCCTATTACGGAGCCTACCACTCAACTCTGCCATGAAGTTCTACAGTTGATTGAACAGAAACAATATGCAAAATTTTCGAGGAGATAAAGTATAAAGTGTTCGTTGAAGTCAATCTTTATGAGAAACAGCCTTGCAATTTTTCAATATCTCGCTCTCCCCGGGTCTTGTAAAGATTTTAGTTAAATGTCCATTAACCCCTCTTTAGGAGGTCTTACTTTCTAAGTAACCATGACTAGGCTGAGAGCATGCAGCTCCGTGGTAGCATCCTCCTCTCCTAGCATCTGTGGAGATGTGGGGTCAGCACAGGGAAATGAAACAAAAAACTAAGCACTACAACACTGTCTAAATCTTTATGTAGAGTGGTGTGCCTCTCCACAATGAAAGGTTTCTTACAGACATGAACCAATACAGGGCACAGAAACAGAGAGTGTGCATAATAAGGGTGCTTGGTAGAAGCCACCAGAACACCCACAGCAAGATGGTTGTGGGGAGTACAAACCACATAGTGAGCCCAATAGAAGTGCCCCGCAATGGCACAATGCCTTCTCCTCCAACTGGAAATGTTCTTATGGCAAAAGTATCCAGGCGGCAATGGGCAGGAGAGCAGCCTCGGGCACACAAAAGACAAGGGGAACCCGGCCCAACTTCCTGTGGCGTATCCTGCTTCCTGCCGGGGGGCAGTCTCAGCCGTCATGTCGGGCCCTGTGGAAGGGAAGCTACTCTTGAACTTTACAACTCTCGCAACCACTTATGAAACCCCTCGGCCTCGGCCGCACTGTGTGGCCATACATTAACTGCGTCCCAAATGCTCCCTGTGCGCTGTTGTGTTTGCACGTCTAAGAACACCAGAGCTGGGCTTTCTGTTCAGCAGGTGACGGCTTGAGGAAAGTCTCCCTCCAAAGAAAGCGCACTTCGGGCTGCTCTGCCTGCAGTGGGCCGTGGAACCACAGCTGGGGACCCTGTTGAGGAGACTTAGGATCTCATCATTAATTTGTCCAGCAATATCTAAATAAATTGTTTTACAGTGAGCATTTTTATATTATAACATTTGTATGACTTTTAATTGATGGTCTAAGACTTTTCTTAGATTTAATACTTCTACAGTTTTGTAAACATTCTATGGAAACATAGACTTATTCTATCTGCCAATGTGAGGGCACTTGCCTGATGTGTGGGAGGCCCTGGGTTCAATGAGCAGCCCTACAGAAAAAAAATTGTCTTCTAATTATGAGACTTTGTGTTAAAAATGTACATGCAGAGACACTTTGAGCTTCCCAAATTGCTCCGCTGAGAGGCTGTAGGTGGGTGAGGAGGGAACCTTCTTACTTGTTCCCTCCCTTCGATGTAACAAGGTTGTGTGCCCCTGCTCCCCGCGGTGGCAGCCTCCTCCTCACTTGGCTCCGCTCCCCACAGGTCGTCCTTGCAGCTCCAGTAATGACTTAATTTGCCAGCATCGCAGGTTCCCATCATTCACAAGCTCTTATGTGCTTGTTCTATCGCCAGCACAATATTTAATACATAGAGGCAGAACCATTGTAAGACTTTTCGGAAACACACAAAGGCAGTACTGAGTTTTCAACTTGCAAAATCCTGGTATACTGTTCTGTTCAAAATAATGTTTTGACACATTGATAAAAATATTCTTGTTTGCAGATTATTTATAATAAACTGTTAGTTTTATTTGTTTGTGTGAGATTTAGTTTTTTATTTTGACTTTTTAAAAGTCTTAGGTATTGTACTTTTGCAAAAAAATAAAGTAAGAAATGGAACCTTCATTCAGGAATCTTATTATAGTTTGAAAAGAGAGAGAAAGATGCCATGTGACAGCTCACGTGGAGGGGTTTTTATTGGGAGAAAGCAAATGGAAAAATGGAGGATGGGGGGGTATCAGCCTCTGGGGCCAGGAGCAGCAGAAGAGAAGAGAGAGAGAGAAATTAACGGGAGGCGGGCAAAGTTCACCTTTTAGAAAAGGGAACCCAGCGAATGTGCACCTGGTGCTCTTAGTGCCTGCACCTGAGGACGAATCCTGTTGGGATCGCAAGGGCAGGCCAGTGCAGATGCCTGAACACCAGCAAGGCCCATGCCTAGTTCTGACCCCCATAACTACTATTTGACTTCAGCCTGCAGGCCCTCTTCCTCGGCCTTGTCTGGTTCTTACTGTTCCTCTGCTGTGTAGCAGGATGAGGTTGAATGGTCTCCAGTTGCTCGCTAATGTTCTCCGCCTGTAAACAACACTTCTGTTCGTTTATTCAAGCAGGGTCCCACACAGCCAGGCAGGCCTTGAGCGCTCACTGTGGCCACGGATGACTTTGTACTCCTGATCCTCCTGCCTCCATCTCCTAAGAGCTGGCATCGCAAGTGTGCAGCCACACCTGCCTCTGAACACAACACTGTTTTATTTTTATGTGGGTGTTTGTAGAGACCGGAAGAGGGGAGCTTTGGATCCCTTGAGCTGGGGTCACAGAGAGTTGTAAGCTGCCTGGTGTGAGCACTGGAAACTGAACTCTGGTTCTCTGGAAGAACAGCAAGTGCTTTTAACCGCGGAGCCATCCCTGGCTCATTTATTACATCATTTGTAAATGATGCGGTGTGATTCTCCATCCAATCAAACCGTGTAAATGATGCGGTGTGATTCTCCATCCAATCAAACCGTGTAAATGATGCGGTGTGATTCTCCATCCAATGATGCGGTGTGATTCTCCATCCAATCAAACCGTGTAAATGATGCGGTGTGATTCTCCATCCAATCAAACCGTGCACTCCTGTGTTTCTGTATGTGTCTTGGATCTGAAGTGTTTGTTTCTTGTGGCAAAGGCGACTTGAGTCCTTGGCTAAAAATTGGGGTAGCATAACTTGTGGGGGAGTCCAGCTGCTCTGAACAGAACTGTCTACCTACTCACCTGATGAAAGGTCTTAGTAGGTTAAACTCGTTCAGAGACTCTATATAATTAATTCTAAAACAACACGAAACCCTTTAGAGAGTTTTTGTAAGTGTGAGTGTTCATTCAAGTGTCCATTTCCGTGGTTAGTTTGTATGAAACTGAAGCACACGGCCTTGCCATTTCGAGGTCCAAAATTGTTGAGAGCTTCAATCCCATCTAGTTCCAAGAAGTAGAAAACCCTAAAAGATGGAGGTTATTATATTAATGAAAATGCTAACTTGCTTAGGGTCTTTGTGTTTAAATGTATATAATTTATTCTAATTTTCCAGGTTGTATAGCACTTGCAACAGCTTATTCTCACACAGGTTTGGATAAACCATGAATCAAATCGTGAAGCTCAATTACAAATTGTTGAGCAGGCATAGCATACTTTATCCAAAAATAAAAATCTTTCCTCTACCAGTATTTCCCCCTCTCCCATTCTCCTCACTCTTCGGAAGTTCCTGAGAAATGTTTTCCTTAATGCAATCCAGCTGCAGCTGCAGCAACAGTTAGAATAGTTCCTTCAGAACACATTCCTGACCTGCTGACATCTCAATTGGGGTCACCACTCTCATTTGTACCAGTTTACATCCAATTTTTAATATATATAATTTATTTTTATTTCATGTGCATTGGTGTTTTCCTTGCATGCACGTCTGTGTGAGGGTGTCAGATCTTGGAGTTACACACAGTTGTGAGATGCCCTGTGGATCCTGGGAATTGAACCCAGGTCCTCTGGAAGAGCAATCAGTGCTCTTAACCACTGAGCCATCTCTCCAGCCCCAACCAGCTTACATTCTTAAGCCCTGGAATCTACTCTCTGGAGTGGAAGTGGAGTCAGCTGACCAGCAAGGAATCAGTAAAATTTCTGATTAAAAACTCATATGTTAGTTTCTACTGCTCAAGAATAAATCAAAGTCCCTGCATGGCCTTCACTGCCTTTGGAAGCCTGGTCAGCTGACTGCCTCTGACTACCCACATCATTCTCCCTTCCTGTTCCCGTCTTTTCTGGTCCTTCAGATGAACACTCCAAGCTCTTTGCAACCCTGGGAATCTGTGCTAACAAACTTGTCCCTTGGCCTTCAAATGCCACTTCAAAAAGTGCTTACTCTGAAGTGCCTCCCACCCACTACATTGCGTTTCAACATAGTTTATCACTTTGTCTGTTCTTTACAATATAAGAATTTAAACTCCACGAGGGTCAGACTCTCCTTCACTCTTTCATATATTCCCAATGCCTACAATATTGCCTGGCTTGCCGTGCCTTCCCTGCGTAGAATGAATGAAATAAGAAAACACTAATTAGACAGAAGATTAATTAATGGCCCAACATTTCATTATAGTTGGTTTCTAAGATCAATGTAATATATGTAATATATAATCAATGACCAAAATAATGTCACCAGTCTCTACAGTTACTCGCTGCTCCCTGCTCCAAGAGTTGGAGCTTGGGGCTGGGGAGATGGCTCAGTGGGTTAAGTGTTTGCTGCACAAGCATAAGGACCTGAGTTCAAATCTCCGTCACCCATATAAAAAAACAGGTTCCAGACATATGCACAACCATGCTGGCTTTTTATATGGGTGATGGAGGATTTCTGGGGCTTTCTCCAGATTCAGTGAAAGACCGTGTCTCAAGGGAATAAGGTCAAGGGTAATGAAGCAGAATACCTGACATCCTCCTTAGGTCTCCATTCATGCTCATGGGTGAGTGTGCCTGTATATATATGTGCACACTACACAATACACCACACACATGCACACCAACACCAAAAGAAAGGGAAAAAAGAGTTGGACCCTATGTATTTCTTTGGGATGGACCTGTGATATTTTGACTAAGATTACTTGGAGAAGTGATGTTTATGATTGCAGAGTCTAGGGGTTTTTTGTTTGTTTTGTTTTTTAATGTGCCTCTCTGTTTATGTCTGTGCATACAAACACAGTACTTGAGGAGGATAGAAGGGGCTGCTGGATGCCCCTGGAGATGCACGTGGTTGTGAGCCACCATGCGGGTGCTGAGAATTGAACTTGAGTCCTCTGCGAGAGCAGCTGGTGCTCCTAACCCCTGAGCCATCTCTACAGCCCCCCTCCCCCAACTAGTTTTTAATGTCTCTCGGATGCTGCCTCTGCCTTTTAGAGTCTGAGTCACCAAGCAATGGAAGATGGCACCATGGACAGACGAGATCAGCAA